TTTTTTTTTTTTTTTTTTTTTTTTTTTTTTTGTGTGGTTTATTTTATCGAACTGTTCGATGAGACGTAAAATGTACAGAAAAAAAACTTTTTTTTTATTAAAATTTTTTTTCTCTTTTTTTTTTTTTATTCCAAAAAAAACTTACTATTTTTTTTTGTAGCATTTTTTTATATCTTTTTTTTTTTTCAAGACTTTATTTGGTTCAGTTGGTTGTTCTAGCTTATTGTCTTTTTTTTGCACCTATTTTTTGTACTCCTACTTCTCTTGTCGCAAATTTTTTTTCAAAAATTCTTTTTTTTTTTTGCTCGATACATTCAAATTAACCGAGTGTAAATATTTGCTGAAATTTATGATATCATAAACAGATAAGAAGGAAGAAAAAATACTGTCTTTTGTATGTTTCTCTGAAATGTTACGGAGATGCTCCGTGTCGGTTGTTGTAAACAAAATCTTTAAAAAAAAACGATAAGTCAGTTACCTGATAAAATATTTGTTCGACTACCTTAGCTAAAAAGATTTTTCTTCTTTTTCGCAGCTATTTTTAACATTGTTTTGAGTGGGAAAACTGATTCTGTAACTGCTGATAATCGTCATCTGTCCGACATCAAAAGTTGCACCATTTGTTTGTTACTATGCGGAAAGTCAACTCAAATTTTAGTGTTGATTAATCCAAAAAAAAAAAAAAAAATTGTTTTCAAGTTGTATGTGTCTAAAACCTTTTTATTAGGCTTTATTTTCTTTTTTAAAGACAAACTTTTTTGAGAAGAACAGATAGTTGTGCAGTAATCATAAAGCTGTTCTCAGATTTTTTCAAACTTTTTTCTGATATTAGGAAAACTGCTTTTATCTCAGCTGAACTACACGGTATAAAAAATGGCAAATGAAGTTTAATTTAAGAACTGATTTCGTCTGCCCTGTTCACTTTTGAAGTTATTATTGTGTTACTGTAAAGTAATTACTTTTTTACTGTCACCACTGCTGTTATTCGTATTTCAAGCGAGAATTATTATTTAGCGACATTATAATTTGTGTAGATGGCAAAATTTAGGTAGTTAAAATGTATAGAAAGAGTGGGTGCAAAGAGAGAAGAGAGGATATTTTTAGAAGAGTTTTTAATTGGTAAAACATATGTTATGCTGTATTGTTGTCCTTCAAAAATAAAAATGCATGAAACAACAAAAATAATCATAAAAAACAATAATAACCTTTTTTTCATGTGTGTGTCTGTTTGTACGTGGATTCTTTCGTCGAAAAAGCCATGACTAAGAGCAATAACTGTTTCAGAAACAAATTACCATACAACGACTGTATCATAACAGTTTTGTAATATTACTGCTAGCTGAAATTACTGATTAAAATAATTAAAACTATAAAAGCAAAAGAACAAAACAAATATCCTAAAAAGTATCGGTAAAGATAAATGTTTTTTTTTTTTTTTGTCCTGTAGATGTCTATATTTTTTTCTCTGTTCTTTTTACTTTCTTATTCGTTTTCATAAATTTCTACATTTGTATTTTTTCAACTTTTACTGTTGCTGCTACTTCTTAGGCAAATTATTACTACTATTATTGTTATTTATAAC